TCCTCCTCCTCTTCTTCTTCTTCCTCCACTAAATGCTCCTCTGCAATAGAGTCCTCCCTCGTCTGAAGGATGGGGGTCGGCAATGAATCTGTATCTGGAGGGGTGACGGTGATCTCAGGGTTGGATTGGCTTTGAGAGAAGGAGCTCTGGGCCGGGCTTGGAGAAGACCCCGAGGTGTCAGAGAAGGTGAAGGACAGACGTTTGCACTCAGCCACACCACAGCCGCCATTTTCAAAGATGTCATCTGGTAAAGTGGACTGAAACACAAAGCAAGGAGTCATCATTTAAAGCAAAAACACAAAATAAAACAAGGCAGCTGGAAATCTGGGCAGAAAAAACATCAGAAAGAAAGCAGGGCTTTAAACTTTATGACTAAATTATTTAGTCATACAGGCTCACAAAAAGAAGTAAATTAGAAAAAAAAATAAAATGTTGGTGAGTAATTCACATACACCATCATTGGCATCTATATTCTGTTGATTTTGAGCTTTCTAGTGATGCATGTAAACCATTGTTTTCAAGGATGGAGGAATTATACAACAAACAAATATTGCACAAATTGGATGTCACAGATTTTCTCTAATCTCCACATAATTATTGTCATACACATGTATAAAATAGTTTACATCATAAATGATATATATAAAAAAAAATCTCCAAAAGGAATTTGCTGAAGCATCAACAATAAATGACAAGCGAATATCATCACCACGATCTCATCCAGGAGGAGGATGTCTTGTAGGCCAATGAGTCGATGCAATTAACTGGTTTTCCTTGATAAAAACTTTTAACCAAATTCACTGTATTTTCTTTTTTGAGGTAGAACTTCTTCTTAATCATTTCATCCAGAACTACAGTTCCTAACTTTTTCTTCTCTCAACATTAGGTTAAAACAAACTGGTTAATTGTTTAAGGTACAGTGGATCTTTTTCTGCATGGATCATCAAAATAAGTGGTCCTCCTAATTGTCAACCATTCTGGTCATATGTTTACGTAAGGCCGTTCGGCGTGCTCGTCCCCATTTTCACCTACCGGTGGTGAGTCTGACATTGTGGAAAAATTGCAAATCTTATTTTGGAAAGTAAGCTTGTATGAGCGATGCAAACAGCAACTTTTAAACAGAGTGTGCACGAGGAGAAATGGGCTCATGCATGCTCTCGCAAGCATTTAATAGGCGTTCCCTCTCGGGAATGGGTACATGGATGTGCATGTGCATTTTTTTAAAAGTGGATAGGGCAGGTCTTTTCAAAAACTTGCGAAAATCCTCCACTATACCTTTAACTTGAGTATAGAGACACTGAAACCCACATTTAGCTGAAAGGCCAACACACCTAAAGCAGTAATTATGCCAAAATTGTAAAAACTATATAAACATTTTGCATTCAAGATGAAAAACCTGTTTTGTCTATTAATATGCTCTATCCAGAAGTCTTCAAAGGGTACAGTTCTACCTTTACTTGGTTTAAATTCTGTGTAAAATATTCTTTAAGGAGCCTTTTGCTATCCCAGTATTAATTGATGAATCAAAAAAAACAATCGTCAGATTATTCGATTAGCAAAATGGTCATTAGCTGCAGCCCTACTCAACCTAAAGTCATTTGGATGGTGTAGATGGGCAGACATGAATCTAAGTTGAGTTTAATAGGGACAGGCTTGGAACTAAAGTTTCTCTGCGTTGATAGTAAAAAGAAACATACTTTGTTGTAGTCACCAATGCAGGTATAACTGCATCTTTTGGGTTGTAAAAGATTAGAGTCTAGATTGTTCATGGCGCTTTTTTGAATACCTTGATTTTAGATGGAGCTGACCTTTTGGGTTCAGACGGGTTAAACCGTGACGCAGTTTGCTGTTCCAACCCAACAACAATCTAAGATTAAAACTGACCTGAATAAAGGTAACATTAATGCACAAACTGACTGTATGTAGATTTCTCACCAGCGCTACATAGTAAGGATGACTAGAAGAAGTCATGCAGATCCACAAGCAAACTGACACACACGCAATTCTGCAGCCCTCAGAGTGGAGCTGGACAAATCCAGGTTGGAAATAACTCAGTGAGGTAGAGAGAGACACGGTTGTAGTTTTGGGAAAGGGTTGGTCAGTCAAGGGCACACTCCACACTCACATAGACCTCAAGACTGGATCTGGGCCTTGGCCGGAGCGAGGCCAGGTCACCAAAAGAGCGGCTGCGCCTTAGCTTCTCCAGCAGCGTTTCTCGCAGCATGTGGAGGAAGGAGAGGCGCTGGCGCTCGACGGGATATGGCTGCCACTTCTTCACACAGTCCACACATGGACATTGGACGGGTGGGGGCGTTTGGGGTACGAGGAAGAATAGGGTTATGTTACACAGAAGTGCGTTATAAAATGGAACTTGACGGAGGGTAAGTGGTGAAGAGAGGGCTCAGCAAATAAAGGCGAGTATGAAAACATGATTCAATTTGTTTTAACAAAAAAAACATGTGGACAGGTTATTGTGGAAGGATGGTGAAATATGTTAATAAACAGGCACTAATGGACAGATGCGTGTTTGAACTTACGAAAAAGGAGCTGTCCTGGAAGGTGGGGGTCTCAGGAGTACCCTGGCTGTAGACCGATACTCGTCTCTGGAGAGCTGCAGCTTTGCTCAAGTTTCCCGATGACAGAGTCAAATCTTCAACATCGAAGGGACTGAGTGGGTGAAAGAACAAACTCACTGAGCTGTCAATGTTCTGCAATGGCATCGTTTCTCCACAAGGTGGCAGGGCACCATTAGATAGACTAACAGTGTTGTAACAGTTGTGGGCGTTCTCAACATGAAGTGAACATATGGCAAGTCCAGTAATAGACTCTAAAAGGTTTAAAATAGACATTGGCTGCATCCCACAACTCAGCTATGCAGCAATTTCTTCCATATGTTGCTGATAAACATCTTAGTTAGTATTTTACTGGTTATGGACACAGGTCCACAGTGAGAGTTCTTATAAATGACTACTTACTACCACGTAACCTCCAGGTTGAGTTTGATCGTTCCCAGGTCATTGACGTCCACGGCTACCACCTGGGGCCTGGCTGTAAACAGCTCTTTGGTCTCACAGATGACACTGCCCACCAGCATGTGAGTGGCCAGACCCTTAAGCTCGGTCACCTGATGGAGGCAAACACATGTTTTAATCTTCCACCGCACGGTGCAAGAGATGACTGCAGCTGCTCTATGTTTCACCACCATGCTGCTCTGGAGTACCTTGATGTTGATGAGATCGGTGATGAGGGGCATGAAGACCATCTCGTCTCCGTCCCAGCTTTGCCTGGAGTTCACTTCGATCCTCCCCTTCAGCTTCCAGCGCTGTCGACCGTAACGCATGAAAATCTGATGAAAGGGATGAAAAGAAAGGAAACTAGGCTAGATGAAAATGTTTAAGCAAATAAATCAATCAATATAAAATCTAAAGCTTCCCAAGGCTTCTTCTCTGTCCTTTACCTGCCTCTTATTGTAATAACCATTATAGATGCTAAATATTTAAACTTTTTCAATAACTGGCTTCTCACTACTAGTGGCTATAATAAAATATAAGAGCTTAAAGAACACCTTTGGCCTCTATTCTTTGAGGGAGAAACGAGTATGAACTGTGCATTCTGTCATTTTGTACACTTTCAAAGGCTTGATACAGGTTTCACATAAAAACAAAATTGAATGATAAAGTCATGAGTTGAAACATTTTAACACATTGTAATTGGGTTAAAATAGCAATGGGTTATTGTTATTGCAACCTCTACACCAGCCTCCCCCATGACCATGAACGAACAAGCAGATACAGAAAAACAACGCATACACTGCAAAAACCATCTAGAAATAAGCAAAAATTTCTTAAAATATGTCTATTTCCCCTTAAATTGAATAGGTCAATAAGATGATTTGCAAATGGAGTTAGTATTTTTAGTCTTAAGATAAGATAATTAGATATGACGCACTTGAAATAAAACAATGCAATTGTTTTTTCTTATTTTAAATGTAAATTGTCTTGTTCCATTGGCAAAGTATGTCACTTGCCTCCTTTATTCATGAGATAAATGCCCTTATTTTAAGAAAAAAGAGACTTATCTAGATTTCGATTTTTTCCAGTGTAGATGAAACTTGCTAAACCATCTTAAGGGACTACTTAGTCCATCTCTTAGTTTGGCCTACAAGAACATGAACAATAAGCTAACCATATGGACTTGAATAATAAACTAATTCTATACAACCAGATGATGATAAAAGCAAAATCCTCTCATTTCCCTTCGATCCAAATAAACTCCGACCCTTTTTGGTTAAGACCAAAAGGAGGTGAGATAACAGGGGATATTAAACCACTGATTTATAAAGATGTTTTGCTTCAACGACAAAGTCAGCAATTACCTTATTATTAAACCATCCATTTTTTTTTGTTGCCTGATTAAATTATATAATTATATTATTATATATATATAGAAAATATATAGACATGGCCCTTTTAACAATAATAATTGGTATGTGCCAAGAGTGATTTCAGTAGTTTGAAGTATTGAAAAGGATATGACAGAGGATGCCTCAGATTAGATTCAGGCAAAAAATGGCCATGTTTTGCCAGACATGTAACTTCTTCATTGTTTAAATCAGCAATTCATAGCTACATCTTTCTTTCTGCTTTAGTAACACTTTATCTGCGACTACTAGATGTGTGTAATGTTGCTCTGAAGGATGGTGTAATAGCTTAAGGCGCAAGGTTTAAATCCAGCTTCAAATGTTTTTAGTGGGGGGCAAAACAGACCATCTTTGTCAATTCATTCCTTTTGTTATCTTACCATAATTCTTTCTTTTTTTGCTCATGCTTTCTTTTCTTTTTTTTTTTTTGCAACTGCTTTGTTTTATATTTAGACAGTCGATTTAAGAAACAGTTCATCTTGCCACACATCCGTGTACTTCACTGTGACAATTTGCACAATAGCAGCAGGGGTTGGGGAAGCAGATAAAACAAGTTTAAACTTGTTCTGGGAACATATAAAGTATTTGTAAATAAATACAGATGGCTGACTCTCAGTGTATTTTTCAAAGGGTAAATTGATAAATTCCGTCATAATTTAAGGTTAACATTGTCAATAACGTTTTCTAGAGTCTTTACAAACTTCACTTGGGGCTATTGCTTTCTAACTGCAAGTGTAGTTCTGTGTGAATCAGGCAAAATTATGAGTGTGCTCATTTGGTTTGGGATTGTGACTTTGTTGTCAAGTTTCTATGAAACGTGGAGAAGATTACATAAGAGGTAAAGATACTAAGCAACAGTGCAGAATGGAAGGGGAAAAAAATAAAACATGCTGTCACAGCTAAGCTAAGCTTTAACTATCGCTAGTAAAAGTTTAATTTTGATGAGTAACGAAGTAGATGTGTTGATCATTTTTCATAAAAAACATACAAAAATGGACAAATATCTAACTAAATATACTTAAATCGTCCTAATGTTGAAGAATCTAAACAAAATGTTTTGAAATTTCACATGTTAGCAGGATATTTTGATGAAGAGGAAGAGCACTTACCTCATATTGGTCTCCAGGACAGAGCCTAGCAAAGCCTGCCAGTCCTATCAGAGAAAAAACATGGGAACAGAGAGATGAGCTTCATAAGACGGTAACTAAAAGTCTACAAATTCTGGACTAATAAATGAACATTTCTTGTGATTTAAAGAGGAAAATTATTTTTTTATATTTACACATTGGTTACTAAAAGCATTATCTTATCTTTTTTTTCAAGTTGTCATTTAAGGAATGTTTTGTTAGTGTGATCAAGAAGTTAAAAACAATTCACCTTTCATTTTGATGTGAAACTCCCCGAGCAGATTCTCCAGTTCGCTCTCGAAAGCACTCATGTTCTAGATCAAATTAAAATAATAATAATAAAAGAAAAAGGTTGAACATTAAGAGTCAGGCAGCATGATGCAGGGTAATCAGGTTATCTCTTCAGTCAACACCAAACTGCAGAGGAAGACTCCGCTTAACCTTAATGGACAGATGATGACAGGTGTGTGTGTTTTGGGGGATTTAAAGGTTTCTCTGTAGAGGTGTTTGTAAATTAGGTTAAATAGTATTTGCTATAATCTACTATAGGCGTTGGCAAGTATACAGTAAACAGTAATAAAGCGCTATAAATTTTAAACCACCCTTAAATCCTTTAAACCTTGCATCAAATGAGCCAGGCAGTCTTGTGATCACATAGAGGTGTTTTGAATAGTTCCCCATGCTTTCAGAAGATTTTGTGGCCAATGAACCCAAAATAAAAAAAGGCCTTCATTGACTTTGCTTTCTTATACCTTGTACTGTCACCAGTTAGAATAAACTGTTAAAAATCCCAAATTCTGCCAAATAAAGTGCAAAGGTTTAACATATTTTAACATATTTCCTGGTAAGAGCTAGGAACATTGGCAGTACCTCAGTGTACTCCTTGTATCGGCGGTTGACCTCTGAAATGCTTTCTTTGGTGGCTTTGGTGGAAGGAGAGGAGGAGAAGGCCTGCTTCATCCTGATGGCACCGTCTCTCAGGCGGCTCTGGATACAGAAAGCTTCGTACAGCTCATCCACCTGAGGACAGAAATGAAGTCAGTTTTTGCACACAAAAAAAACTATTTCAGACACTTAATATTCCAAAACCTGAAACAAAAAGAAGAGATAAGGTGTGGAAACTATCTTCAGTTTACAGAATTTATCCTCCAAATTAGGACCTTTATTTAAAAACGTGAAACATAAAGTCCTAAAAACGATTAGGATTAGATGGACAGAGGGATAGACGCCACAAAAGCAGCGAGAACTATCGACTTCCTGCTTACTTGCATTGAGATAAAATGTTGACATATGAGAGGAGATCAGATTCAGATAAGATGCTGCAGCAGTTTAAATTTATCTTTTCCTCTTTACTTAAGTTAGGTTGTTTCTATCACTTCAATAAATTGGTTTATTCTGTCTACATTTTCCCAACTTCTGAGTGAATTCACAGGTATCAACATCGTTGCAGAATTACATTATGTAATTCTAACAGTTACATAATCTAATTGTTACAATTAGATTATGTAACTATATGAAAGCATGAAATATGAAATAAGCTGTGTAAACAACACATGCAAGTTTCACTCATTATCTAAAAATACTTAAAACAGATTCCCGAAGGCTGAGTAACCCATCTCTAAATGTATAATTCACATTGACTCCAGGTTTATTTTTGACCAGAAGTCACATCTAATCAAAATGCAAAGCAAAACACCTCTGGTGAACCTCTTTAAAGGCAGAAGTGGAAGCCTGACTGGTGCCAGCTCTGAAATATTGATGCTGTGTGCTCTTTATTGCACTCATTAGAGAGAGACAGGGGAAACCGGCCAGTCTGGCTCCTGTTGTCCTAATAGCTGCTGTTTATTTGGGGTTCTTTACGCCTAGACCAAAACACCACTAGGAAATCTTTTTATAATGTTGATTCCTTGAAAAAAGTTTCTATAAAACTTCAGATTTATATCCCACACCCACTATGATCCCACCGGCTCCACCTCAAACCAAGCAGTCCTCAGCAACCCGCTACTGGGTGAGGCCAAGCCCATCTGCATGTCTGTCTGTGGTATGTGGAGCATGTGGTGTAGCTGTAGCAGCTGAATGGAGTCAGCCTCAGAACGACATCTAACCTAAGTAACTGTATCCAGTCATCATAAAGAACATTCAGAGCTGCTGGGCCTCTTAGACATATGGTTTATACACACATATGTTTAAAGTTAAAATGTGCAGAAAAAAACAACAACCCTGGATAAGTTTAATCCCTTTATGGGTAATTAATTCAGTACACAGTTAAAAGATTAACCACAAATCTTTTGCAGATTATTTTTGGCATGCTTTAAAAAAAAGGGAAAGATGAAGTAAGTGCGGAGCAGACGAGTGAGCAAACAAACCCACAAATGGACGGATGAATAAATGGATGACCGGACAATAGAGAGACAGATGACTGGAGTCTGTGTAGAGACCCTTCACACACAAGGTAACAATGACAATGAGTTAATCATTTAGAGAAATAATGCTTTTCTCTGAGGAAATACTGGGCTCTAACAAACTGGAGCTGATGAATAGACATTATCATATCATTGTCGGATAATGAAGCTAATTTTTGTCCCCAATTACAGCGGCCGCTAGGACATGTGCTTATGAAGGTCAGCCAAGCCTCTCTCCAGAGACTGTCCATCAGCATATTGCTGTGCCTTGAGCGCATTGCCCCCAAGAGAAAGACAATTCATGAAAGAAAAAAAACAAACAAAGAGAGGAGAGAAACCTTGATAGACAGATGGCCAAAAAACTAAAACATCCCAGTGCAAACTATATTACTGTCAGAAGAGCACAAACGTATGGAGAGAAACACTTCCCTTACTTAGCATTTTCTTGATGATGCATTTAATCTGTCTCATTAGGGCTTCCTAGGCTTTGCCTTCACATGATCGATCTGATTTACATGATCAATGGCGAGAAACAATAAAGAAAAAAAATATAGATTTTCCTTAGCTGTTACAGGTTATATTAGAAACATAGAGAGAAAAGTGTTTGTTATTGTTTGTTAATCTTTTTGAAAAAGGTAATTCCTCTTAGCATCCAGTTTGTGCCTTTAATGAGGGTCTGGTCCCATATGAGTTGATGGTCATCTCTTTGGAACCCTTCCATTAAGCGCCACTAGTTTGCAGATTTTCTTAACTTGTAGGTGTTTTTGCTACTTGCAGCATTGTTTTAGATTTGCATACATTTTGTGTATTGATGTGTTAGCATCTTTATGTATTTGAACTGTTTTTTTTTTGTGTTTGCAGCAATTTTCCATTTTAGTGGTTCTGTGAATGCAGCTTCTCTCTTTTGCAGCATTTTATAGCCTTTGTCCGTTAGTCTCGTTGTGTTTTCTAGTCTCACGACATTTACAATCATGAAAGAAACCAAATCAAATACACAGAAATTAAGTTCTGTAATAATGTTAAATGACATGAGGAAACAGTATCAAAAACACACGTAATATTCGTATTGTAATCACCAAGATACCTCCTGTATGGAGAAACTAGTGACATGCAATGTTCAGACATGTCTTTTGCCCATTCTTTAACATAAAACGTATTTAAATCTTAAAATATCTCTGATATTATACATAAAATCTAATCGAAGTTTAAATTTGATGTTCCAAAAATTGAAAAGATAGAAAATACATAATATTGCACAGCACTTTATTTTAACTGGTCACTAAAAGACCACTGAATAGAAGAAAAGCCCATCTGTTGTGCCTAAGGTCCAAAAAAGTGCCTGTTACACATCTGCTAATTAAGACATCTTTACATCTAAATACATGCAAAAATTTGTATTCATTTGGATTGAGTTCATTATAGTTCAGAGTGGATGAAAAAAAAAACAAAAAACAAATTGCTTGGAGAAGAAGTGACACGTTTTGGGAAGATCTTTAGCAGGGAATCAGTTTAGGCCTTTAAGAGAAGGAATGGTAAATATTCAATAAGTAAGTTTTTTTATGCCGTCGACTAATTAAATTGAATTGAGAAATTTTACTAGATTTTATTTAGATATGAACATTTCTCAAATTGGGCCGTGAAATTTTAAATTTCCACTAAATCTCTAGGATTTGGCTAAAAATCCTCTTAAGATGTTGATATTATCTGACATTGTTAAATAATGGTGCACACTCACACCCAGCAGCATTTTATGCCCGGAAGCAAATGATTATAAGCAGATTAGAAACAGGCAGGCCCCGCCGAACAGCATCAAACACCCAAGCCTTCTCTGGGGAAATCAGGGTGTGTGTGTGTGTGTGTGTGTGTGTGTGTGTTTACAGCAAGATTAGCAATCAACGGGGGAAAGGGGGGGAGCAGAAAATGTCCTTTATCAAAAATAATCACATGCAAAGCATTCTCACTCATCTGGGCTGAATTTGGCAATGGGAAACGCACACCCTCTCTTAGAGGAGCACAGGGTGCCGGGCAGCTGCTCTGCTCACCTTCAGTGTGTGTCAGTCATCTTTTTAATGATGCCCTGTTGATACCGGCCCCCCCACACACAAACATAAACAGTTAATATAGACTTTGTCCCATGCAGGACATCATAGACATTGTGGTGTGCCACCTGCCAATTACAGTGCAGACATTTGCAGGCAGGGCAGAGACAAAAGCTGCGGCTAATGCAAGTCACAAACTAACAGCCTGCTGATGGACGATTGTTAAGTCGTCCTTCGCGGCAGCTGGCCAAAACAACGAGAGACTGAGTCTGGGCTGAAACAATTCCACATTTACCTGAACTTACAGCTGCAGCAACATTGAACGTATTTATTTATCTGAACTGTTGTTGTTTTTTTGACAAAAGAGAATTTGACACGCTGCTGGTACCCTAAAATTGCATCTATATTTTCTATACAGTAATTATTTATATTATCTTGTGTGGTTTTGTTGTGTGTATATGTATATATA